TATTATCCAAACGATCTTTTTGTAAAGAGTAAACCACCTTTTCCCACCCAAGGTTTGCCTTAATGACACTCTCTCCCCCAAAAATTTTCAAATATCATTTTTTCACCCAAAGTTAATATTTTGTTACTACTCAAGGCGATTCTACCAGCGAAAATTATTTCTGTCACCACAATTTGAACATCCTGTCTCCTCTATACAAAAGCTTTCTCACTCCAGCACCTGATTTTTCACCAATTGTCGGGCATAGCAAAGCTAGGGTTTTGTTCTTAGCTAATTTCAACTGATTTTGATAACAAATATTCAATCGGTCATCACTATTAAATCTATTAGCTTCTGCTCTACAAAAACCCTCTTACCGTAGCTTCTAGTAACTTGTCAGACGTCGGCTGAGAAAGTGAAGTGTATTTTGGGTATTAACGAAATATAAACATTGGGTGAAAAAATGGTAAGTTTGAAACCTTTTGGATGGAAAATGTTATTAAGGCAAACCTTGGGTAGTCTTATGTAAATATAATAAGAAGGTGGGCAAATCACTTGCTTTGGCGGGTACCCGTTGAGCCCATTTGCCAATTTCCGCCGAAGCAAACACTTGATTTAAATTCAAATAATATAAATAAAAATGAAAGTGTGCTTTTATTTAACAAGTGGTCGATGATTGGGGTGAAATTAGATTATTTACAAAATGTCGGTTGTGCTTTTGCGGCAAAAATATAGTAATACCTGAATCTGAAAGGTACCAAAATTATTAGTAAAATACAGGGTAAGTGCGAATCTACTTCATCATCCATGAATATTCATTTCTAATTACCATTATTGACTTTACACATACTTCCACCGCAATCACAACTATTTATATAATATCCTATTTTCCCACTTCATTTTCTAATTTTTCACTCTTTTTAATTTAAGTCATATGTAATTTTGTCCTTCAAACTCATATACTTACTACAAAATCATAAATTTTAAATAAAAAATAATATAACCTGTTGATAACTCCGTCATAGTGTAATCTTTTAAAAATATTATTGTTTAATAAAAGACGTGAGAAAAAGGAAACACATTTGGTGGACTTGGCTTTAGCAGACATGTCCCGTAAAAGCGCTTTTACTTCAATAGTGCGTCAAACAACTTCAACGCCAAATTCTCTTCCTTCTTTTCCCTCACCTCCCAGTTCCCACACTTGAGAACTTGCAGAGATAGAAGAAGAGCAACTCAGAAAAAATACAAACAAATGGGGGATTCTCGAGTGGAGACGATCTCGAGATTAGCACAATGGAGAATCGAAAACTTTGGACCTTGCTCTTACAAAAAATCCGACGCTTTCAAGGTCGGTATCTGGAACTGGTAAGTTGTTCACCACAGTAACATTATATATACAAGATTTTGGCTTTTTGTTTTGATATCTGGGTTTGTTTGTATAATTGAATTTTGGGATTGATTAGGCACTTGTCTGTGGAGAAAAATCGGTATCTGTATATACGTTTATTTCCGGAGCCATCCCGTTTGTCAAAAGAACAACCTCCTATTGCTAGCTTCGTTCTTCGAGTTTCTATTGCTGGCGCTAACCGCAAACCTTACATCTCTCCAGGTTTGTTTATTTATAGATTGGTATATTGTTACTGTACGTGGATGTGTGGAGGAGTTTTTGGGAGTCATAATCGTTTGATTACCTTTTTTTTTTTTCCCCCAAGTGGATGGTTAAAAGATATTGGAGAGGATAATAGGGATAATTTTCTTATCTGATCTTGTGATAAGATCACATACCCTTCAAGTTTTGTCAATGTTTAAATTGTTTGGCTTAAATTGTTTCCATATTTTTTATTTGGATGAGGTTGTGGACGTGTGTGGTTGGTTTATGTGATTCATCAGCGCTGTAGAACAAATTCAAATTTGAAAAAAGTTTTAACATGATATATGGCTTATGGCAAGTTAATTTGATATTTGCAGATTTAGCTGTTGATAGTAGATGCTATTTTGGTTTTATGTTGCAGTTCATGAGAGATTGCTTCGGACTTGTGAAGACTTTGTCTGGCCTGTTGATACTATGTTCCAGGGGCGCTTCATCATCGATGTTGATTTTCTAGACCTGAAAGTCTGTCCTCTGAATGTGAGTTCCTCTAAAATCAGTTTAGCGGTGGTGATGACGGTGTATATAAATGCATATTAGTAATTATTTTTCTGGTATTAAATGGATCATGAATCTATAAGTAATGCCTTTCACACTATTATATGTTACTACGTCATGCGTTTGAACACGGATAAGACTTCTGTTAATTAATTGTTTTCATGTCGAAACTTAGGGTGGGTTGCCCAGTTCTATATGGCCCTGTGATGGATTGATGCAACGTGTCTCATCCCAAAGCACTCTTCGATGCCTCTCCCGCATGCTTGATGAAGGCATCCATGCTGATGTTGCCATCCACGCTGCTGATGGCACTCTAAAAGCTCACAAGGCAGTTCTGGCAGCGAGTTCTCCTGTTTTCCAGAGCATGTTCCATCATAATCTCAAGGAAAAAGAATCCTCCATAATTAACATAGAAGACATGTCGGTAGAATCTTGCATGGCCCTTCTCAGTTACGTGTATGGAACCATAAAACAAGAGGATTTCTGGAAGCACAGGCTGTCACTGCTGGGGGCTGCGAACAAATACGACATTGCTGACTTAAAGGATGCTTGTGAGGATAGTCTCATGGAAGACATCAACTCAGCGAATGTCCTCGAGAGGCTGCAGGAAGCCTGGCTATACCAGTTGAACAAGTTGAAGAAAGGATGCTTGATGTATTTGTTTGACTTTGGCAAGATATACGATGTTAGGGACGAAATCAATAATTTTTTCAGGCAAGCAGACCGTGAACTGATGCTGGAGATGTTCCAAGAAGTGCTTACAGTTTGGAAACCGGTATAATTTGCCTTGTACGTTCTCTGTTTGGGATTTGGTTTCAGCCTGAGAGTTTGTATAGAATAGTGAAATCTTCTTAACTAGATATGTAATGAGTTTTTAGCTATTAACTGTGAGATTTTGAGTGTTGTAAATGATGTAAAACTTTGTTCTGGACTTGACAATTGTGTGTCATGGAATATGGATGAATATTCTTGTCTTTTGTTTAGTCCTTCTGCAAGGAGCGCTGGAGCGCAGACTTAAGGCTGAAGAACAGATTTCCTTCACATGTTTTAGTTTGGTGATGCCAATTTCTCAAATGGGCTGCCTTAGTATTTCTTTAAGGGTGTGTCTGGCTAGGGCTCTGGAAAGATAACTCCGATAATCAATCTTTAATTTTGGACATTCCTTTGTTTGGTTGTTGAGTAATAAAAGATTTTGGTAATCTTTCAATACCAATAGTGATTACTGTGGGTTATATAGGGGGTAATCAGATTACCACCTCAGGGGGCAGTATATAAAGATTATCAGCGTAATCTTAATTTTATACCCATTTTGCCTTAAATTAAATACAATTTCAAACACAATTGCTTTCAAATGTTTATCAAATAACAATCAGTCTAGACCCCGTACATTTTAGAATTTAGCTAAAACACTTCAATCACAAAAAGTTTAGAAATTAACAAAATACCTACAGCCACCAAAGACCACTGTCAGCCGCTAGCCACCATCGTCAGCCACTGGCAAAAGTCGCCAGATTGACTTACAACTGACGAGATTTGGTCGGTCGTGCGTCGGTAAGACTGTTTTCGGCTAGATTGAAGACTGAAAACAGCCAGATCATCGTGGATTTGGCCGAAAATGGCCAGAATAGATAAGTCGTTTGTGGCCGTTTCCAACCAGATCCATGATGATCTGGTTGTTTTCGGCCTTCAATCTGGCCGAAAACAACCAGATTAACATGGATGTGGCTGGAAATAGCTAGATCGCCATGGATTTGGCCGTTTTCGGCCAGATCCACAATGATCTAGCTGTTTTCGGCCTTCTATCTAGCCGAAAATAGCCAAAACGGTAGACAGCCAGCCTAATCTCATTGGTCTTGCACCGTTTTGATGACTAACGTCGATGGCAGACAGTGGTGGCCGGTGGTGGTCTTGGGTGACTGGGGGTATTTTATTAAAATTTAAACTTTGTTGTTGGGGATGTTTTAGCTAAATTTTCAAATATAGGGGGTTAAAAGAATTTATTTAAATAATAATAATAATATTATAATGGTATTAAAAAGGAAGGGCAATTTAGTAAAAACTTTTGTCAATAATATTTTATTCTTCCTAACCAAATATCTTAATTATTTATATCCACTAATCTAACCAAACATATTAATATAACATTTCTTCGTAATCTTTAAAGACAATCTATCTTGGTGGTAATCCTACATTTTCAATAATAAAACATTCCCCGAACTAAACGCATCCTAAGAGATAATCATTTTTATCCTCCTTATTTAATTAATTTCATTTTTAAATGATAATTTATATAAACGTAAATTTAATTTTATTAATTTTATATTTCCATTAAAAAACTCATATAAGGAAATTTAATTTTAGTCACCGTGGCAAAAACAATCCTTTTTGTCTTTGAAAAGGAAATACTGTTCGTAAAATTATTTTATAAAATATATGTCAATGTGTTTTCGTAAATAGCTATTAAATACTTTCTAAATAAAGCAAATTAAAATAATGTTTAATTTTTTTTTTAATTTATACCTAAAATGATTTCATACTTTTAGAACATTTTTTAATCTATTTTAAAATATAATAGATTCAAATTGTTTAAATAATATATTATTAAAAAAAATCCACACACGCACAAACGTATTTAAACTCCTTCCACATACTAACGCTCTCTCTCAACGTTAAAAACTACCCTCCCTCTCTCCCAGNGTAAGATAGATATTCCAGTAGAATCTTTTCTGCATAGCTGCAAATTCACTTTCTTTCTTTTCTATTTATTTCTTCATTGGATGCCTGTTACAGTCTGTTGAATTGCTGGTTGTTACATAAGTATCTTCTTTATCTTCTTTCTTGGTTCATTCTGTTGAAAATCTCTTGCATTCAACACATGGAATACTTTGGCATAGTGGTGACTGGTATCTATGATCAATTCTTTCAGGAAGGTCCTCGGACATTGGTGGGAGTAGCTACATTTGACTCCACAATTCATTTTTACAATTTAAAACGTGCATTACAGCAGGTGAACTGTTAGTTGGGCACTTTGCCTTTTTCTAGAGTTATTGGGTCATTCCCTTTTTTATTTTACAGAAATGATACTGGATAGTTTTTTGATGAGATTAATATATGACTTTTTGTGGAGGGGGATAAGAATCCCATTCCATTACACTGAACTGCCATTTTTTTTTTTTCCTATTCTTTTAAGCACAATTCCCTTGTAGGGGAGAGGGGAAAACGGGTCTGTCAAGAAGCTCTCTTTTATTTAATATCTCTGCCCAAAAGCTGGGATTTTTTATGGTTGCAAGGACTTGTAATCTTGCTGCAGAATCACTTGAAAAATGTTTCCAACTATTTTAATTTTCCATTTGTTGTTGCAGCCATTAATGCTTATTGTTCCTGATGTAGAAGATGTTTATACCCCTCTCCAAACAGATGTTATTGTTCAGCTTTCTGAGGTAAGCTCTAGACTTTAGTCCTTTAGGGTCTATTACTAGATTAGATATATCGTCATTCGAATTTAAACAATGATGGATGGGCTTCTGTTCTTATCTTTTGAAATTCTGAATGTCTCCTAGTAACTTTGATTATTCTTTTGATAATGTAGTGTCGTCAACATTTAGAGCTGCTGTTGGAGAACATCCCAACGATGTTTGAGAACAATAAAAGTGTGGAATCAGCCTTTGGTGCAGCAATCAAGGTATGCCATTTTTGTCCAGTTATAATCCATATTCCTGGTACTTCTTGTGTGCTTGGCATATTGCAGAAGTGAATCTATTAACAGTTCCATGGCAATGGGGGTGCGATATGCTTATGAACTATATCACAGTGTGCAGCTCCATTGAATGTGATGGCACAGGCAACATGGAGGTGCACACACTTAGACACTCACCTTATGGTCCACCAATCTATTCCAAACAATGAAGTCTCGTGTGAACCAATTTTAGTTCATTTTACAAAAGTTCCTTGCAATTCCATTACTATATAGGAGCACCTCTGCTTAAAATAATATGCTTAACAGATGTATTCAGCAAAGGAGATTATCAAGGGTTTTTATGTGAGAAAACTAGTAGCTAAGAGGTAGGAAATAGTCGGACAATATGATCAAGGATTGTGAATGTGTTGGAAAGGTGGGTAGGTTTGGAAGTTTAATTAGGCAGGGCTAGACTTAAATTCTAGATTGATGTCATTTAGGTTCTTACTGGTACTTGGATGTTTGATGCTGAAAGAGTTTAGGTTTCCAAAGCTAGGAAGAGTGTTTGGCTTTTATGGTAGTTATTTATTTATTCATCATATGGATATGTTAATACCTTCTAACTTTGTTCCAAGTTCAGGCTGGCTTTTTGGCACTGAAGGGTACTGGAGGGAAGCTTCTTGTATTTCAGTCAGGCAAGCTCATAAACCTATATATATTTGTTTGACTCTAACTTGATCTTGTTGTATAGTGCAATCAGTTGTGAATCACCCCTTCTTTATTTTGATTGGTTTTGCTCACATATATGACAAACAGAAAGGGGAAGAACAACACTTTGTCTCCAGTTTAATATATTTTGTGGAGTAGCTGCTGGTTTGTCATCAAAATTGAACTGCATCTGGCTCTTATTTTTTTATTTTTTTATTTTTGTTCAAGTTGGAACAATATGTTTATAGAGGAACCTTCATATATATTTATCACAAATGCTCATGCAAGTTTCTCATGTCTTCCACTTATCATCATTGGAAGTCTGGGAATTATCAACTAGATGATATTATTATAAAGCATACTAGTACGTTCCTGTGTGTTCTGATCATTGTAGCATTTTGCGTTCAGTCTTGCCATCAGCTGGTGTTGGAACTCTTTCTTCAAGGGAATCCGAAGCAAGAACTAATGTCTCAGTGGGGGAAAAGGTATACACATGTTCATACTTATTTCCTCTTGATGCCTGTTTCTCCTGGAGTTGTAGTACTGTGTTGACTTGCATTTTCTTTAGAAGTTGGTTGTTTTGTTCAGATAAAGGTGGGTGATTGTTCCTGTTAATGTGCAGTTGGGGAATCAGACATTTTCATTTGTTAGTGCTACTATGTACATTTTCATTTCATTGTTTCTAACCTTTTGCTAATATCCCTAAATCTACTGTTTCATTCACATATATACCCTAGGACTAAAGAATAAGACAAATGTGCTCATTTTGTTAGGACAATTACTGCATTAGAAATTTGACTTAATGCACCCTACTGGACTGTTGTTTTTCCAATATGCTTCGATATGCCTGATGGGGCTGTTTTTTCCTTTTGAATATGCTGGTGGTTCACCCTTCCTAAAAACTCATACCTACAAAAAGGTTTTAATTTTCAGCTGCTGACTGAAGTTAATTTTCTGCATGGCCACTCGCTCATGTTTAGTGTCTATTGTGTTAGGTTAACTTTTGGCCTCAAATTCTGTGTCTGTGTTGAATGAATTCCATGCTTATGATTATATTATTGTGCCACACTTCTTTCTAGACTGCTTTTCTTTTGCATTATTTGCATCTTAGTTTGTCATGGCAGGTTTAGCTTTTGCTTTCAATCCTAGGGCTTATATTAAGTTGTGCTTTGCAAATGGTCACAGTATGGTTACTATGTTCTAATGTATTTAAATCTTAAAAATAAAAAAGGGTTCCTGTTTCTTATTGTTGGAAACTATGTATATATAGTCAAGGGTATATATGTAATTGTAGTGTGTGTGTATATATTTGTTAGGTTGTACTGTTGAGAGAATTAAGTCAAATAAAAATTGAAAACAAAACATGGTATTAGAGCGGGACGCGTGAACCCTTAAACCCATTTCTTCGTTTTTTGTTTTCCGGCAATCGGCGATCTCCGGTGACATCTGAACGTCTTTGTCCATGGTTTCTCTCTCTTCGGCGATGTCTACCCTTAGTTTCTCTCTTTCCGGCGACGTCTGAATCTGTTCGAGGAACCCCGACTTCCTCTGTTATCTCCAGCAACATCTGGCCTTTGTTTCTCCCTTTTCGGCAACTTCTGTTCTCGGTTTCTCCCTTTCCGGAAAATGCTGGTTCTGTTCCAGCAATCTCTCCTCTGGTTTCTATCTTCTCTGTTGTTTGGTGCAAGTTGCAATCTCTCCTCTAGTTTCTCTCTTCTCTGTTGTTGTTTGGTGCGGTAAGCGTGGAGTTGTTGTGAATCCTTTTGGCTAGCTCTTTCTGGTTGTTTGAGATTGGGAAGCTTTTGTGTTTGCTTGGGTTGTTCGGTGTTGAGGTTGTTGTGAATCTGTGGAGTTGGGAGTTATTTGACATTGTCAATTGCTAGACAATATGGCAGAGGACGATAAGAAGATGGTTACTGAAATCGTCACTTCCTCCACCAAAATCACTGATCAGAAGTTATTGGGAAAAAAGAATTATATTCAATGGAAGCGGATTATCCGACGATATGTGTCCAACATTGACATGGGAGACTATTTAATCAAGGATCCACCTGAGGAAACAGAAAGTGATAATAAAACTCGAAAAAAATGGCTCATGGAAGATGATAAGCTCTTCAATCAGATTCAGAACACTCTCGATTCGTCTATGGATGATGTGATTGGTAACTGTGATACCGTCAAGGAGTTATGGGAGTATCTAGAGTTCTTGTATGTTGGTAAACAAGACCTGTCTTATGCCCATGAATTGTTATTGAAGATCTATCGAGCAAATATGCAAGAGAAGACGTTGCTCGAATATTTTACAGAGATAAAACAAGCCTTTGAAGAAAAAAGGGCTATGTTTCCTGTCCCTACTGATGTGAAGATGATGCAAGCACAAGAAGAACAAGTGGTAGTGCAATGTTTTCTGGCTGGGTTGAGATTGGAATATGAGATAGCTCGTACACAACTTCTTACTGGTGAGACACTTCCCTTTCTTACGGATGTCTTTGCTCGACTTCTCAGAGTTAGTAAGGGGGAAGATCGAGGAGTTTCTAAGGACAAAGAAACCCTTAAGGATCCTAATGTAGATCATGCGACCCTAGCTAGCATGAAGCCTAGTGATGGCAAAGGTAACAAAGGGACAAGTCGTGATACTGGGAACAATCGTGGTAATGACCCTCGTACTTGCTTTCACTGTGGTGCTGAGGGTCACGTAAAAAAGAATTGTTGGAAGCTCCATGGCAAGCCCTTGAATATGCAAGGCACTCAGAAGTTTGCTCATGTTGCAACTCAAGATGGTCTCCTACCCACCCTATCACAGGTTACTATCTCTGCAACAGAATATGCTCGCCTCACTCAGAATTGTTGCTCCCAGTCATCCATCCCATCGACTACCACTACATTAACCCAGTTAGGTAATCCTGCAGCCTGTTTGTCCACTTCTAGTAGTAACTAGGTCATTGATTCTGGTGCTACCCACCATAAGACGGGCGATACATGTATTCTCTCCTCATTTACACCTTCTCCCAATTTGTCTTCTGTTACCTTAGCTAACGGGTCTATTGCACCTATTATTGGATGTGGTACTGCCTATCTCAACAAATCTATGTCTCTCTCCTCTGTCTTGTGCCTTCCTCAGTTTCCCTTTAACCTATTATCTGTTAGTCAAATTACTAATGCATTGAATTGTGGTGTTTACTTTTTTCCTACTCATTGTATATTTCAAGATCTTGGGACGAGGCAGATTATTGGTAGGGGCCGTGTATCAAGTGACCTGTATATGCTCGATGATGTCTCCACTCCTGTCCCTCAACCTGTTACGTGTACAAGTGATTCATCTCTACCCATATTACATGGTCGCCTTGGTCATCCTCCCCTTCCCATTTTGAAAAGATTGCGTCCTAGTGTAGGGTCAACGTCACACCTTGAGTGTGAGGCGTGTCAGTTTGGAAAACACCATAGAGTGTCCTATAGCCCTAGGATAAACAAAAGAGCCACAACCCCTTTTGATGTTATACACTCTGATGTTTGGGGTCCTTGCCCTGTGTTGTCTAAGTCTGGATATCGATACTTTGTTATTATTGTGGATGATTTCTCACGTGTGACTTGTTTGTACTTTATGAAAAATCGTTCTGAATTGTTCTCCATATTTTGTACCTTTTATGCTGAAACACAAAATCAACTTATTTCATCTATTAAAATTCTCAGAAGTGATAATGCCAAAGAATACTTTTCTACACCTTTCTCCTCCTTTCTGTCTACTAGAGGTATTATTCATCAATCATAATGTGTTTATATACCTCAGCAAAATGGAGTTGAACGAAAAAATCGTCATTTATTAGAAGTCGCTCGTACTCTCCTCTTTCACATGAAAGTCTCTACAGAATTTTGGCAGATGCTATCTCTACTGCATGTCATTTGATTAATCGCATGCCTTCTTCTGTTTTGGGTGGTCAAATCCCGTACTCCATCATTTTTCCATCACAGCCTTTATTCTCTCTTCCTCCTAAAGTATTTGGATGCACGTGCTTTGTTCAAGATGTTAGACCTCATGTATCCAAATTTGAACCTAGATCCCTCAAGTGTATATTCTTGGGTTATTCCCGATATCAGAAGGGTTATCGTTGCTTTTCTCCTGTCCTAGGTAAGTACCTTGTCTCAGCTGATGTTTCCTTTTTTGAAACCACTCCATATGTTGAGTCCTCCATTCCATCTACTTCTCTTGAAGCACCCCCTGATGATCTTCTTGTTTACAACATTACCCATCATAGTCCTCTACCATCTCGTCTTCCTATCACCCAAGTATACTCCCGCAGGGTTCACCAGCACCATGAGACACCTGCATCAGCATTTGATCCACTGCCTCTATCGACTGCCTCGCCCTCGCATCCGGTTCCTCCTACCTTTGACCATGATCTTCCCATTGCTCTTCGTAAAGGTAAGCGCTCTTGTATCTATCCTATCTCCTTATTTGTTTCCTATCACTCTTTGTCTTCATCTTCCAAGTCTTTTATTGCCTCTTTAGTCTCTGTGTATGTGCCCAACTTTGTGTCTGAAGCAATTACTCATGATGGGTGGCGAAGGGCTATGGAAGAGATGTTGGCTCTAGAGCATAATGATATATGGGTTCTAATGGATTTGCCTGAAAATAAAAAGGCCATTGGGTGCAATTGAGTTTTCACAGTGAAGGCTAATCCCGATGGAACTGTGGCTCGGTTGGTTGCTAAGGGTTATGCCCAGACGTATGGTATTGATTATTTTGAGGCATTCTCCCCAGTGGCTAAAATGACCTCTGTCCTATTCATCTCACTTGCAACTTCATATTGTTGGCTTCTTCACCAATTTAATGTAAAAAATGTCTTTTTACATGGTGATCTTCTTGAAGAGGTTTACATGGAGCAACCTCCGGGGTTTGTTACTCAGGGGGAGTCAGGAAAGGTATGCAAACTGAGAAAATTTTTATATGACTTAAAGCAATCTCCACGGGCTTGGTTTGGGAGGTTTAGCGAAGTGGTGACTTAGTTTGGTTTACATAGGAGTGCTTATGATCATTCTGTCTTTTATAAGCAATCTAGTTCTGGCATCATTCTTTTGGTTGTTTATGTTGATGACATTGTAATCACTGACAGTGATGATGTTGGCATTCAGAGTTTGAAAAACTTTTTGGCTTTCAAATTTCACACAAAAGATTTGGGCACTTTAAGGTATTTTCTGGGAGTCGAGGTTTCTCGGAGTAAGAAATAGATTTTTCTCTCTCAACGCAAGTATGTGTTAGATTTGTTGACCGAAATGGGTTTAATTAAGGGGGTGTTTGTCTAAGCTTATAAGCTGGTCAAACTAGCTTATAAGCTGGTCAAACTAGCTTATAAGCTCTAAAATTAAGTGAACTTGTTTGTTTATAACTTTTTTTGTACTTTTTTTTTTTTTTTTTGCTTATAAGCAGAGTTTGACCAAGTACATTACCACATTATCCTTGTATAATTTTAAAATTCCATAGTATACCTTTGTTTAATGTAGTACCCTTTTTAGGCATTTTATAATAAAATATACTTATAAGCCACATTTTACCAAACACGTCAACTATTTATCAGTCACTTATAAATATTTTAACCAAACATATAATTGCTTAAAATTTCAAATGCTTATAAGCTAATTTTTATAAGCTCAGACAAACACCCCCTAAGGCTAAGCCATGTGACACTCCTATGGTTCCTAATGTGAGATTGAATGCTGAGGATGGAGAGATACTGACGGATAGTTGGAAAGTTAAACTACCTTACAGTAACCCGTCCAAATATTGCTTTTTTAGTGAGTGTGGTGATTTAATTTATGTCATCTCCTAGGACATCTCATTGGGATACGGTCCTCCATATTTTGAAGTATCTAAAAGGAGCCCTTGGACGTGGGATTCTTTACAGTGATCATGGTCATAATAAGGTAAAAGGTTTTTCAGATGCAGATTAGGCAGGATCCTCTGTGGATAGACGGTCTGTGACTGGGTTTTGTGTTTTTGTTGGAGGAAATCTTATTTCTTAGAAAAGTAAGAAGCAACCGGTTGTAGCTAGGTCAAGTGCAGAGTCTGAGTATCGGGTTATGGCACAAATTACTTGTGAGCTTATATGGACAAGACATCTTCTTAAAGGAATTGGGTTTGGTTATCCAGGGACTATGGACTTGTGGTGTGACAACCAAGCAGCCATACATATAGTAAACAATTCAGTCTTTAACGAGAGGACTAAGCATATAAAAGTGGATTGTCACATTGTACGAAAGAAACTTGAACAAAAGCTAATTGCTACTAATCATGTTAGAACAGGGGAACAACTAGCTGACATCTTCACGAAGTCTCTAGTTGGTAAAAGGGTAACATATATTTGTAACAAGCTGGGCATGATAGATATATATGCTCCAGCTTGAGAGGGAGAATTGGAAACTATGTATATATAGTCAAAGGTATATATGTAATTGTAGTGTGTGTATATATTTGTTAGGTTGTACTGTTGAGAGAATTAAGTCAAATAAAAGTTGAAAACAAAACACTTATTAAGTGGGGTGGTAGATTGAGTCAGAATCTGTTGTTTGGGTTGATACAAGGGGTTGTCTAGATGTTCCACCTACATACTGATTTTTCCGTGGTTCATTTGTTTCTTTAATTAATTCTATCTTGAAATTTTTAGTGAACTATACACAAGTTTTGGGGTCAATAGAAAATAATGACATGTTTTATGTTGAAAATATTTTTAATATGATTTCAGGACGTCCCTAAGTTACTACAACCAGCAGATAAAACACTGAAGACAATGGCAAGTGAACTGGCTGAGTATCAGGTAAACTTTAAGTAATTTGGTGTTTTATTGTGATTTTAAAGAAACTCAGAATATAGCCCATGAAGCTGGTTGAGAGTAATATTTCTTCCGTAATTATGTGTGCATAATGTGTCAAGCTAATTATAAATATTTGAACATTTTCCAGATTTGCGTCGATGTATTTATCACTAGTCAAACTTATGTTGACATTGCTTCTGTCTCTGTCATCCCAAGAACTACCGGAGGACAGGTATCAATTAATGCTTAATGGCCATATTAATATTCAGCTAAATTTTTATGTGCATCTCCTGCTGCAGGAAATGGTATCATATAGTATACGGGTCTGTCTCTATTTTGGCTGTAATCCTGTATCACCATACTAGCAGGATATATAAATTGAAGGAGTAATTTTTCATCTGAATTGATGGTTTCCCTGATTTTCCATCTTAGTGTCTGAGTTAGTCCCTAAATTCACTGAAACCTGGACAGATTCTTGAAATTTGCGGCTTTCACTAATGTGGTTCATTTTCAGAGCACTGGTTTGAATCCAACATCTAGATGTACAATGGGTCATCTGTGCTGCCTAAAACTGATGAGGATTTAGAATTCGTTTTATGGGTAACATTAGAAAACTCAGCGTCGTCTTAGAATGCGTATTTATAAATGTTCACAGATCAAGTGACTGTTTAGTGAAAACCCTTTATCAATTGGTTTTTCATGTGTATACAACTCTTAGCTATTCAAATTCTAAGTTTTGTTGGTTCAATTTGGGTTACTTCAGTTTCAAGCTTTTATGCTTTCCCAATCTTGCAGGTATATTATTATTCCCCTTTTTCAACTCTATCAGATACGGCCAAGCTTTGCAATGATCTTAGATGGAATATCACCAGGCCCCAAGGTTTTGAGGCTGTCATGCGTGTGAGATGTAGCCAGGTAACACTTCTAGGTTTTTGAAAATTTATTGCTAGTTCTGTCAGTGTTGGATGATTATTGTTGTTTTATGCTTCAGAGCATTATCCTAGTGAATCAACTTCTGTTTTCATCTGTGTAGGGAATCCAAGTTCAAGAGTACTATGGAAACTTTTGCAAACGCATTCCAACTGATGTTGACCTCCCTGGGGTTTGTAATTTTTCCTTCTCTTGCAAATTGCTTTGTCACTGAATCATACATATGCTTTTATTTTTACCATAGTTGGCATTGACTAGTTTATCAGTCAAAATGAGGTAAATTTTCCTTTTTAAGTTTGTTCTGACAATACTATGTTAATTATATTCATAAAGAAAATAAGGGAATTGTATTACTCCCATGTCTGGACAACCATCTATCTTAGTTCAGTGTTCATGAGCTGCTGACCACATCGCTTACCACCTGAATTTATTTTCTAATAGAGAGGCAATTTTCGTAGCCTTGAGGCATTACTCTTTTAAGTACCTTAATCTTAGTGACAGAGCATATTGTTTCCATGAAAAATATTGGAGTTAGATGGTCTTGTGTAGAGAGTTGAAGTTGATAGAGAATTTCTGCACGGACCAATTGCCTCAAGAACTTGCTATTCAGTAGATTTAACTACCTACTCATTGTTTTCAGTCAGTACAAGTTAGATTTGGTGACAAAAAATAGTTATTGTTTGAGGTTTCAACTGTAATTTTTAACATTTGTTTTTATGTTGTAATTGGAATTTATCTTTTCCGAACTTTTGCCTGTTCAATGTATATAATTTAATTTAGCTTTTGTTGAAGATCATATGATTATTGTAATTATACCTAAGGATGCTTTCATTATTTTCTAGTGGCTCATGATTATGGATAATGTATATCAATTCTCAAATAGAAATTGTATGATTCCATGATTCTTCTTGTAATTTTTTATGGGCAGTTCCATCAGAAGTTGCTTGGTGTTTAGTGTATTTTGTGCATTTATCTTGCCTTTGCTAGTTCTGTCTCTTATAAGCTGTTTATGAACTAACACATTGGCATACATTTAGGATTCCCTTTAACAATTGCATTTACATAGGAGTTTCCGAAGACTAATTCATACCTTGACCAATCCTTCCTGTTGTGCAGTTTGACTGTGACAAATCTATTTTGATAACCTTAAAGCATGATGACAAATTGCAAGATGGCTCAGAGTGTGCTTTTCAGGTGACTATCTAAATTTTTGGGCAGTCTGCCACACATCTTAATTGTTAATTATTGGCCCATTTTNTATTTGATTTATATGGTGTCTGTGAAGACTTGATTAATTTGCTTGGTGGATTTTTGCTAGATTAATTTTGTTTACACTATTTTGTTTTGTTTATGCACTTCAGGATAATTTCGAAGCAAATGCTCCATCCCCTTTTCCTGAGAGTAAAATCTCTACACCCCTTTTGCCTGAGACTGAGATCAATCATGAAGCACATCACATAAGAAATGACTCAAGTCAAAAGGTAAGCAATCCACCAGAACATTACTCCTATATTAAAGTATGAATCTCAAGTTTTGATAGATTAATTTATATAGACATTAAAAATTATCGTCAGAGAACTCAATTTAATAAGATATTGTCTTCATTTAACCATCTTGTCAAGTTAATCAAGTTTTTACCTCAAATGGATTCCAGGATAGTACAGCGGAGAAAAATAACGATGACATCCATCCTATTCATGGTTCGCCCACAGATTCCGAGTACTTAAGCTGCACAGATGTTGATCAGAGTACAAGTATTAGGAAAAAGGTGAAAGATCTAACCAAAGTCTTGGAAACATATTCATTTTCAAGTTCTAATTACATTCTTTCTTGCAGGTGATATTAGAATGGTTCCTGGTTGTTGCCAATGTTGTAACTGAGGTTTCAACAGCCGTGCTCGATCAGCTTTCGTCTCCACACAAGTCCCATTTTGCTCTAATTGCTACAGTGACATCTTTCGTCACCCTAGGATTTTGCATTATTGAGATTTGTTGCAAGTGTAGTCAGGGAAAGTATGTCTGGAAAATGAAAGGCAAGTTTTATTGGTTTTATAATGCAGGAGATGGCAAGCCTTTTGGTTCAATACCGGGTATCATTGGATTGGTTTCTGGCACTCTTCAGTTTATTTTAACAGCAGTTGCTTACGGGGTGTACTATTCTCGACATGTTAATAGTCCTATTAAACTACACATTGGCTCCATCATCTTTGCTATTGGTCTGTTATGCTCAAAAATTATTGGTGAGAAGCACAAGACATGGCAGCATTTTGAGAGCTCTGAAAGCACATAGATTTAAAATGTTATTTTCTCCAATCAGGTGTGCAGAATGGATTTGATGTTGAATGATTGTTACATCAATTTATGTAGGAAATGCTAGATATATAAAGACTATTACAAAGACTCTTTGTAAGACTCTTTGTACATCTAACATTTTTTCAATTTATTTCATTCTTCTATTAAACATATGTAGGACCTCCATTTATATTGATTAATGGGCCTGGTTGGGTTTCGACTTTTTTTGGGCCATTGTGTAGTTGGTTTATGGATATTAACTTATATACGAACACTTGAGAGGGTATGGAATATAATATTTATGGTTCTATTATAACTTATATTTCGACACACTACTTTGATTGTTCGGAAGTTATATACTTTTTCAAGCAAAATGCCAAAATCTTGGCATGACTTATTTTTATTTGGTTGGCCAATTCATAAATATATTTTCATTAAACTTGTGCAAGACAGACATGAAGGAGAACATGAAATCGGGTGGGAAAGCTTCATTAAGAAACCGACAACATTTCAGATTATCAGGAATTGTAATTGTAAATGAGAACGTATTTATATCTAATTCATGCTGGTCGGGTGGGAAAGCTTCATTAAGGCCAGTCCTCTCTCGTTTCCTTGTTGTATCGTTGTCTTAGAATGGGACTTTCTTTAAAGCAAACTTAATTTAAACTTAAACAATTAAATAATTTTTTATTAAATTATTAATTTATATCGTCGAAATTTGCATCGTCATAATCTATGTTTTTGAAGAGGTCAAGCAGTTCGGGATCTTCAGGGTGGTACTATAGTCTTCTGTCTGTATGAGTCCAATCCCGTAAACGTAATGACTTCAACCATCTCATTGTTAAAGAGCATCTTCTGTCTTTAATAATGCAACCACTAGTTGAAAATGCCGACTCGAATGCAATTGTGGAAACTGGCACACATAAAATGTCACGTGCCATTTGGGCTCCAATGAGGAATCGACTTACATTTTGGTTCCGCCATTGAAGCACAGCCATCTCGCATTTCTCCCTCTTGGTCATGTAAGACAAATCCATTTGCAGATACCGCTGTAGCTCATTTGGTCCATGTCTGTATCCGCTGGAGCTACTACATTCACAACCACCAGTAGTAAGTTCCATAAATGTCCAGATGCTCGATCCCTATTGATGAATTAATGTCTTCATCAGCTTCTTACTGCTCGTCTCTGATGGGTGTTCCACTATACCTATTCTGATACAAAGAAAAAAAGATTCTACAATTTTTTGTTAAATTCTATCGAACAATAAATGTAGTGATCTTGTCCTAAATGCTGGCCTATCTCATTAACTATACAATTAAATACATTTAATCTAAACCTAGGATCTACAAGAAGACCTAATCCATATAAGAATGGGATATCTAACCAATATTTTCGGTATTTTTTTTCCATTTCTAAAACAATTGAACTTAACTCTGGATTATATCTATGTCTGGCAAAAGTTTTAGAAATTTGAAGTAAAATATCTAATGCTAAATTAGTAGTAGGATAATAAACACCACTTAACGTATTAATGGAATTGTAAAAAATTTTAAGAAATGTATGAAAGATACCGCAAACCTCCCAATCAGAATTGTTGAAGACTTCGTCTAGATAGTTCTTCTAGTTGACGAAATCTGTAATTTGTCTAGCGGTTGACATAACTTTTTCAAACATCATGTATGTGGAGTTCCAACAGACAGGCATGTTGCAACATAGTTTCTTCGGTTGAACCGACGGCTCCTCTTGGCGACAATATTTGACATACTCATTCCATCTTGTATTACTACTGGCAATAAATTCGATAGTCACGAGCACCCTACCAATCTTACATGTATAGCTTCTAAACCTGCTTTAACAATCAAATTAATGATGTGACAAGCACATCTCTGGTGGAAAAAATTGCCTTCAGCAAGCGGATCCAATTTCTTTTGAAATAAAGAAATTGTCATAGTGTTATTAGCTACATTATCAAACATTAGCCCCACAATTCTCTATGTTAATAAATAATCTTGCAAAACTTCAATAATTGTAAAATAAATAGTGTTAGCACTATGTTTAGCATATAATGGTTTAAAACCTATCAATTTTTGTTGTAAAGCCCAACTATGATCTACGTAATGTATTGTGACACTCAAAAAATTTGTTTTTGATCTAGCAGCTCATATGTCGAAAGTAAGTGCAATAGAAATACTCTAAAAAATTTCAAATTCTTTTTTAAGTTTATCACTTATTTTCCTATGTCCCTTCTACACTTTTCTAATCATATCAACAAAAAATACATTTTCAGATAAAGAAATGGGAGAGTTCCTAGCAAGTATGTATTTTGCTACTTCCTCTCATGCTGCCAATGCATTGTATGTAAAGTTTGAGAGAGCTGAGGATTGTGGATTAAAATTAAGTTGAATTTGTATTTGCGTACCGATTCTAATTGAAGTTGAACCTTGATGCGTTAATTGAGGGTGCTTCTTCTCCAAGTGTCACCTCATCATAGAAGTCCCGTTCTCAGCACCGATCGTGGTTTGATAGAAATTGCATACCACACACGTCTCTTCCCCCAACCCATTTTGCTTTGGTCGTTTTGATTTCGTGAAAAACTACCATACACTAGACATGGCCCTCTTCGTCAGTCTTGCTATAGTGTTGCAATTCACTTGTGTTTGGCTAGACATAGTCCCGGTCACCTCTGGATTTGGAATTGTTGCGTCTAGAAAGGGTAAAAATGGATCAAACCCTTCTATTTCTTGGGTGGATAGAGGAACTGGAACATAATACTTATTTGGGGATGATGATCCTCTGAATCCATAATTTTGAGAATCCTTTATGAATTTATGATAAAATAATAAATAAATAAAAGTGGATGAAATTGAATAATGTAAATAATAATATGAATAGTAGATGAAATTGAAGATAGTTTGAGAATTGGAGTAGAGAGAATGAGAGATTGAGAGTTATGAGGAAAATGAGTGGGAATTAAGGGTTATTTATTGTTTAGGTATGGGGGGAAGTGCAAAAAAATAAACCTCCCCCCCTCTTTGACCGTTGCTCAATGGTCCAATTTTTTTTTTATAAAATTACATTTTAATCCTTTTATTTATTGTCAAATTCATTTTAAAAAGGGGGTTTTGGATATTTTATAAGGGTTAAATGAATTAGGGAGGGGTTTGGGCTCGGGCCCGGGCTTGGGACCTTGGAGGAGAGATCGACCTGGGCCCGATCCCTCCTCCCTTAGGCCTACTCCGGTTGTAGGGCCTGGTCCGGTCCCCAAACCAGGTTTTTAGGGCAACCCATTTGGGTCCGGACCTAATTCCCTCCTTCAGATGATGATGAGGTCTCATTGTCTATTCCCCAAAAATCATTATCCACCTTTTTCATATTGGACATTGCTGTTAAATCTAGTAATTCAAGCAATGGCAACTTTCCCAAATGATGCAAATGCTTATAGTTCAGGCCCCAAAAACGTAACTCCTTCAGTTTGGTTAACATCATCCAACTGCAGGGAAATGTGGTGCCTCTATAGCCTGATAGCTTTAATTCCTCTAAATTTGGCGATGGTTGTGAGGTTTTAAGGATTAGTTCATCATCCTCGCCTAATCTCTTCCCTTTTTCATGTTCATCAAATTTTAATATCAACTGATAGAGTTTTTCCTTTTTTTTAAATACTTTTGTCAGTTCACCATCGCTTACATTTCCTAAATTTCCAAGCCCTGTAATTGTAAGGCTCCCTTCAAGTTGAGTCAAAATTTTCAATCCTTCAAGGATACATGCTTTGTTATCATTATCACTTCCACCACTTATAGTGAATTCACTGAATCTTCAAATATCGGTTAGTTTCTCAATCCCATGTAAAGTAGTTTAACATCAGAAGTGTCAAACCCTAAGTGCCTTAAGTTTACTAATTTTCCAATCCTTTGAGGTAATTCTATGACCACACCATGCAAAAAAAAAAAAAAAAAAAAAAAAAAAAAAAAAGGAGGCCCTAAAAGTGTGTAAATTATATAATTCAGACTAGCTTTCAGGTAATATTATTGTATATCCCTCAAGTTGGTCATGTAATTCAAGGTGTCTCAAATGTATCAACTTTCCTCAGCTCTTTTGGAATCTCTTTAAAATTAAATTTAGCATCTATCTTTAATGCCCATAAACATGTCAAATCATTAAATAACCTTGCTAAAACATCACTAGTCAAGCAATCAGTGTCAAAAGTTTTATATGTAAGTAAGAAACCATTATTAATAGTTAGCAATCAGTGGCAATAAGTGCAAGGTAGATTCAGGAAATGAGGCCCCAACTTCATTATGAGTTAACAATAAATGACGAACTTTGTCATATGAAAGAGTTTCTAAGTGGGTCTTCGACACCATGGACTTCTATAGAAAGACATTCATTGTTATTGAAAATTTGTCATGCACTATATCATACGTCTTATAAGTATAATATTTATTCTCTTGTAAGAGAGATCTTGCTACTAAATACGCAAAATATTCTTTACCAATTATCTCCTCATTCTCATCATCTTTTTCTAATCGAAGATAACCTTGAGCTATCTATAAATCAATTAAAGTTTTTTTTAAGATAAATAACCATAATCTTTTGGAAAGATGGAACAATTAAAATATAAAACACAGTTTTATCATTGGAGGTAAATCATTATAATAGCATTTCCAAATGACTTTTTATATCACCCAAACTCTTTATTATAAACAGTAAATCCATAAAAACAAAAGTCCAACAAACTTTTTATTCTTTATATACAAATTAAAGAGTGAGTTTGACTCTTCACATCTAAAGAGTCAAACTTCACTCTCTATTCTAATTTTAATTAATAAATGACAAGCTTTCATGCATTTTATTTATTAATTATCCCTCCTATTAAGTCTCTTTCTTGAAAATAAATAGCATCTTTATTAAATTTAAAGAGTCCATTGGATTTGAATAAAAATTTTGCTATTTATATTTAGAGATTAATGAAGATGCTCTTTATTTATATAAAAGATGCTCTTTAAAGTAAAGAACACTATTGGAGATGTTATAACTCAACATCAAAGGGGTTAAAAGACCTTTTTCAACATTTTCCAATTTCCACAATTCACTACCTAAAACACGTTGCCATTGGTCTTTAGATTTTTTAAGCTGCAAGAGACTCCTAATAGTTTTTGTTGCAAGAGGTAACCCCTTGCATTTCTTAACTATTTCCTTACCAATTTCTTCTAAATCTTCATACACACCAGGAGGTCTTTCAGAAAGAGCTAGCTTTCTAAACAATAACCAATTCTTCTCATAGGACAATTCATTAATCTTGATAATATCAATTGAATTCATCATACGTGCAACCGACTCTTTACGTGTGGTAATTAAAATTTTACTTCCACTGAGACCATTCTTTAAACAATTATAGAATGGTTCCCATTTCTTGTAATCTTTGGTCCATACGTCATCGAAAATAAGGAGAAATTTTTTATTCTTAATATAGTTATAAATACGTTGAAGAAGAGATTGTAATTCTACAACATTAGGAGTACAACCTTCGAGAGATTCAATAATCGCTTTGGCAATCCTAATATCATCAAAAGGGTCTGATAGACACACCCATATTCGTTCATTAAAATTGCTCTTCACCTCATTGTTAGTGTAGGCAAATTGAGCAAGAGTTGTTTTTCCAATTCCCCCCATCCCTACAAGTGATATTATACGGAGGCTTTGTTTACTACTCTCACACAATAACTTGCTTACTAAAATATTCTTCTCATTATCTCTACCAGATGTATCAGATACATCAATAAACAAAGTAGTTTGCATTTGTTGATGATCAAGCTTCTCTATAGCTTGAATCTCACTAAGATTATAATCATTTTTCTCTTTGGCTATAGCATCTAGCTTTTTATTTATATCTGTTATCTTAACTGCAATGTCACGGCGTAAAACAACTTCTTTGAAACCAAAGCAATGAGAGGGAAAGAAGCAACACACCTTCTTCTTAGGAGCAAGAGCATTTGGATCATGACCTCCCTCAATTCGCAATTTCAAGATTGCAGTATTCCACTCATCCAACACATCTTCCACCTCATAGCAGACGTCTTTGAGACGATCTAACCAAACTCTCACAGCTTCATTCTTCATTTTTTTTTGCTCTACGTCAAGTAGCACAGCTTGAATGGCTCGAAGATTGTGCTTGAGCTTGTCTACTTCTTCGTCAACATCCCCAACTAGGCTCACCTATTTTCCGATGAAGCCAGACATCTACTGAGAAAGAATTGAACCAAGTTGCTCCAAGGCAAAAGAAACAATTGCTTCAGTCATGGTATTGAATGATGAAAGGTAACAAATATCGAGTTATCAAATGTGTCTGTGTTGTGAAAATTCTACCGTCCTTTGTTTCAAATGTTTTATAATGCATGGAAAAGCTAAGGAATGTTTTAGCTATTGGGCAAAGTGAAACCTTGCTTTGATGCTGGTTTAGGTATACGTAAAGCTTTCTTCCCAGCTATTCCATTTGTCTTTCCTTTCGTTTACCTGAAGTTTATTGAAAGCAAATAATTTTTTTGTAAAGCAAGATCCTGAAGCATGAGTGGAAAGCAAGTAATTGCAGAAAATTAAGAAAAGCATATTCCTGGAAGCTAAAGTAAAGAGAAGGATTTGGATTAATTCCAATGTATTGCGCAAATTCAAATTTAAGTTTTGTAAATTATTGGGGGTATATTGTAATTTTACAAGATTTATTTGTCAAGTTAAAAAAGTAGGGGTAATTAAAATTAATCTAAGTACTCGGAACTGGAACCTATGTTTCAGGTTCTGGTTCCTCTAAATTTGGGGGGTACCGAGACTTGCCCACCCCTAATTAAAATTACTTTTAAAATAAAATTATTTTATCAGAAAAAATATTTTCAGCTAATCTTTGTGTATATATATATAAAGTCAAATATGATTTTTATATCTCAATTTCGAGTTGTACTTGAATAATAACTCACAGAAGAGGATAATGCTCATTCAATAATTTCACACACACACACACATATATATATATAAGTAATGTATTAAAAAAGTCAATATAGAAAAAGCATTTGGGTTGCGGCTGACAAAAACTCAAACCTCAAAGATAATAACTCAACTTTAATGGTGATATAACACAAAGTCAAAAGTCATTGTTAATAAAATGGGACTCTGCCTCAAAGAACAATGCAGACTACTCTGCTTTTTGATAACTCATGTATTTCATCTATATTCTACACATCTAAATACAGAGTACTCTGTCATATAGATTTATCAGAGGGTGACTCAACAAAGAAAAAGAGCACTCTGTTTTGTCAACTATCTTCTATGAGGAAAGGAAATGGCTGTAGCCAGTGATCTTCTTTAGAAAGGAGGAAAGCGAAGAAAAAAGGAAATATAAAATAATCCTGATTTTTTATGTTTAGAATAAAAAGTTTCATGGCTTGAGTTTCAATTTATTAACCTCCGTCAAATTTCTAGAGTTTTTCCTTGAAGAAAACATTCATGGACGGCTGGATCATTTAAAACCATTATAGTATGTTCACAAGGTTAATTTCATTAATGCCGGGTGCAGCCGGCTTTATATGTCTATATGAAATATCTATAAACTATTGAATAGTGTATTATAAAATTTTCTTTATGATAAATTTACGGCCGGCTATTGAATTTATAATTTACAGACTCTTGTCAGAGGGATAGCGATGGTTTTAATTCTAAAACATCAATCAGAAAAACTAATTAAACCTTTTGCAGATAAGAATCATCCTGTAAAAACCATTCAGAAGTTAAACTTTCGGCATCAATTTCTTTTCTTTGTACAAAGTCCATGCTTCAATCTCAATAATCATGGCTTCCAAAACTCTCCCAAAATTACCAGTTATAGACTTATCATTGAGGGAGGACTTGAGGCCTGGTACAAGAGCTTGGGAATCGATGTGCAAAGAAGTTTGCAATGCTCTAGAAGAGTATGCTGCTTTGTGATCAAATGCAACCAAGTTTCTTTAAATCTTCACCGTGAAATCTACAATGCAGTCCAGGATTTGTTCAATTTGCCATCAGAAATCAAACAGCAGAAACCTGCTCATGGCGGCGACTGGCCTATCGGAAGGGCGTATTCGTATGGCCTTAAACATGAACGTATAGATACTGAAAATTTAACCACCTTATAAGGAGCTCAGAGTTTCACCAAACTCATGTGGCCCTCTGGAAATGACCAATTCTGGTATGTATTTACTTGATGACCGTAAAGAATAAAAGTACATACTAATTAATTAAATCAACATTCTTGTGTTTTCTTGTTTTTGCAGTAAAAGTTCCCATGAGATGTCAAAGATAATGATGAATTTAGATCAAACGGTTGTGAGAATGGTATTCCAAAACTATGGGGTAGAGAAATAATATGACTTTCACATTCAATCAACGGATTATGTTACTGGGTCCGCCAGGTATAAAGAATCAGGGACGAATGAGAACTATTTGGGTCTTCTCGGCCACACTGATAAGTCATTTTCAACCGTGATTCATCAGGATGGTGTTAACGGATTGGAGATTCAAACTAGGGATGAGCAGTGGATTCTTTACGATCCTCCCTCGCATTCATCGTTCATATACCTGGCATCTGATGCATTCAAGGTGGGCTTGATTTCTCTTGTTCGGTTTATTAGTTGATTATACTTGTTGAGATAAACAAAGTTTGACATTTGTTATGCCTAAAAAGTCATGTTTATGTCAGCCTAATAAATGTTTTTTTTGTACTAACTGCCAAACCCATATCTCCTTAAAGATATTCATACCAACCCTATCTCATTTCAAGAGATGAACGGACGAGAGTCTTCCATGTGTCAAGGCAACTTGCAAAATACTCATTACATTGAGTGCAAAGGTGTATAAATTGGCTCTTCTCTTTCCGAAGAGGGGGACTGGGCATATGAGAGCTAAACCATAGATTCAAGCTCAATTCTTTCTCTCTATAAACACTGTATTTCTTCATCTTTGTATACCTTATGGGCAATATCACAGAAATAAGTCAGAGAGCAATAAAATAACAGTGGATGTAGGATTTGCTTTAAGCATCCGAACCACTATAAAAACCTCTCTTGTTAGTCTATTATTTACGTTTTCTACAACATATATAATCTCAGCACCATATTCAAATCTCATGAATCCATTCGCGTGTGTCTCCTGAGTCAGTTCAGCGTTTTTCACGTGCGAATCGTTGACGTTCAAAATTAAGCGTCAACAACATTATTGTGGATTGGATCAAGCATGGAGCAATGACAGAATACGTTCGTGTTACCATCGAGTTATTATGGGTGGAAAGAAGATAACGTTTGCATTGCTGTCTGTGTACTACATTACATAAAGGGACAGTGATGGGTGTTCCTGATGAGCTAGTTGATGAGGAACACCCTTTACGATACAAGCCATTTAATCACAGAGAATATCGTAAATTGCATATAGAATATGGCAGCAAGAAAATTGAGTACTCTATTGAAGCTCACTGTGGTGTCTAAGAAACCCATTATCCATTGAGTATGGTATTGCCTTTTCCGAGAATGGAGGGAATCAAATTTGTATAATTGCTAGGATTATTTTAGAGTTAAGATAGAATTAAAATATTTAAGGTTTAATCTTTTTATAATTATGCTATTATTTAATTAGAATATTTTTTTGAGTTAAGCAATTAAAGTCCTTTTAAAATTAGGGTAATAATTAATAAAATTCTTTTCTCTTAATTCTCATTCTTCTTGGAGATTATGTTTCTTTATATAAGCCAAAACACTATCCTAACACTCTTTTAAGAAATTAATTCGCTAACTTGTATTTAATTAAGACCCTCTCTGAAGGAAGAATAAAGTTTTGTATCCCATTGGTCGTAAGTCTGAATTCTTTGAATCTAAATATCATCTAAGCTCTTTACATTGTCTAGCAATCTCTCATTTTCTCTTTGTCAAGAAATCTGATTCAAGTCAGAAATTAATGAAGAAAAGAATCAATAATTATAACAAAATTATTTTCTTTTCAGTTTCAGTCTCTGTAAGTTTTTAATTTGATCTTAACCCCAAGAGATTGGCTTGGCGGTTAAAAATGTTTGCTTTATTTCTTGAGTTTCTGGGTTCAAATCTTGGAGCTATTTACCATAATAATATTGTGACTTATCTGATTCTTTGGGCTTATAAGATGTTCAATAAACTCCAAGAATTAATTAAGATGCACGCAAACTGGTCCAAACATCCTGATTACCAAAAAAAAAAAAAGTTTCAATGCGATCTTCGTATTTTGTTGTAACAGTGAGAAGATTAAGATCTTAATTATAAGAAGAATTATTCTAAAATCCCCTGGAGATTTGGGCATTATTAGTGTGGATTTTAGCTTTCTGCAGCTGGAGCTGTGTATGGTTGGGCTACAAAGGGTGTGGACTGTCCCATTTGTATTGGTTTCTCCCTGGGCCTTTTGTCATTTTATTGGTGTAGTTGCTTACTTGCTTTTGTCCATTGTTTAGTTTTGCCTAGGCCTGGCTTTTTGTTTGGGCTTTTGTTTGTAAAGGATTGTACATCGTTGTGAATCACTTGGGATTTTTTTTTTTTTTTTTTTTTTTGGTATAGTTACAAATCTTGGGCCTGTCCAAGATTTTGGTGGAAGGAGATTTCCTCCTGCTAAGTTGTATTTTTTTATTCTTTTATACAATTATCACGTTTACCAAAAAAATTAATTATTCTAAAATCTACGATGTTCATTTAGGAAACCTTACGTTATTAAATTATATACTCAATTAATTTATAAGAGGCAACCGATGATGACATGCACCTCTTTAAATTTTTACTCAATAAATTATTTTATTCGTTTATGTATGAATAAAAAATTGAGTATTCTATTGAAGTTCCAATTATGTACGCAAATGAGATGAGTACTGAGTAGCTTGGCAGTATCTTGGAGCCTATAAATTACCCAATTCGTTCAGTTTTAAATATTGGACATTGCCTTCACTGGATAATAATGCCTATTTAGGGTGGAAAGTTGGTTTTGACCATTCAACAATTCGGTTTTAGTCAAATATTAGCTTTAAAGACAATTTTGCCTCCAAAAAGTTTGAAAATGATAATTGTGCACAAACCATTAATTTTATCCGTTAATTTAGTAAATTCAAAAACATTAAAGAGTAATTGTGTTATTTTATCCTTACATATATGTGTGTGTGAAAAAAAAACCTAACCTCTTCCTTCTTCTTCTCGGTGGCGCGCTTTAGCAAGCGCTACCATTGGCGTTGTGGCCATTTTTTTGGTCATTTCTTCACCCAAAACCACCTCCATCTACCCTTCTGACCCTCTCTCACTAAAAACCACCTAATTCCAACACCAATGCACCCATTAATCGCGAAATCTAGCCATCGTTCTTCCTGATGACTACCTCTATTTGAGGCTAGATTCTTGTCGATATTCACACTCGAAATCCACCATTCCACTACCATTCGAATTCTCATCAACCTCTTCAAAACCCAACCTTCCATCTGACACCCCCACTCACCATTTTCCGTCGACCACACACTCTTTAGCCGCCCTCCAACTATATGACAGATCTTATTTTCAAAAAATTACCATCTTATCTTTTTTTAAACGGATTTTATTAACAGTTCTTAACAGTAAAGTGAAAACTATCTAACAGATCTTAACATTTGTGGGTAATTGTCATTTTTAAACTTTTTGGATATAAAATTGTCTTTAGGCAAACTTCGGGTGGGAACATGTCCTCCAACCTATTTTTATTCCCGTAGACATCAAAGGATAAACTGCTATTCATCCAATAAAAAGCATTGAAATGTACAAATTACGGTGAAATTTTCTCTAATAATGCTACCAGGATTTGTTCCATAGTCGGGATTAGCCTCATTAATTATGATATTGTGACCTCGATTTTTTTTTCTTAAACCAAACATTCATCATGCAGGGATTGCTGGATCATTTATAACCATTATAGTTTCTTAACAAGGTTAACTTGATTAATATTGATTGGGTGCAGCTGGATCTATATACACGGCATCGATCTCTGTACATCATTTGATTAAAATAAATAACTTCATCAATTAAGAAAATTTTTCTGTTGAGTGGCATAAACTATTTAATAATTAATAGAGTAAACGACATGTTCCACCCAAGGTTTGACGAAATCCTAAGTTGGTACGTCAAGTTCTATTTATTCCATATTCCCACCCCTAAAATAACACTCTTAACATTTTTTGGAAGTGAGGGCGCAATTATCATAATGCCCTTAACCCTAAATTAATAAATTATATTTTAGCCCCTAAATTACTAAAATTATAAAATTAACCATCTTGTTTTGAAATTACTTCAATTACATCCTCAGTGACTGCGCACCGTCTCGATTTTCACCGGATCTGGGCTGTTTCTGATGACGGCGAAACCCCTGGTCACCTCCATCAGCTTCCCCATCGTCCGTCATCCAAAACCCCTCTGATACCCGACTTATTGACCTCTCCAATCGACGGCGCCGTCAGGGTTAGGTTTTTGTCATTCTTCGCCAGATTCCGGTCGATTCTGACGATGAAAATCTAATTCGACGTCACCACTACAACCAGCATCTCCTAATCTACAAAACCCCTATGTCCCAACAACCGTTTTATGGTCATTCGCCTGTGGAGATCGACAAAAACCAGCCACATGTGGCGGTTGTCGTGGTTGGCGATCGACGAGTGATAAGGGGTTGTCAAGGGTACGGTTTTGTAGAGGGGAGGATGAGGGTTCAAATGGTGGTGACAAGGGTGATTTTGAGTGGAAGAATCGCCGGAAAAGGGTGAAAAAATCAGCGGTGAGGTTGGCTAACGTGTGCCGGAACTTTATCAGGGGCTGCGATCTGCTAATGTGCGCCTCTTCTGTGAAATGATCAATTTACCCCTGAGCCGTTATATCTAACCATTTCCCGTTACTTTAAGAGTGGGAATATGGAATAAATGAAACTTGGCGTACCAACTTGGGATTTGGTCAAACCTTGGGTGGGAACATGTCGTTTACTCTAATTAATATGATATCTTTGCGGCCGGCCGTGGAATTTACAGCACTTTAATCTTAGCCTCTCGTCTTAGGGATAGTGATGGTTTTAATTTTCAAAATATCAGTAGGAAATGCCAAAAGCAGGTGTTACATCATTTCTGTGTATCCGTCCCATTCAACATTTTTTCTGGACATAAATTAATGTTACCGCGAGATTCATTATTCATACGTCCATTATAGTAAATTGACATTATAATTTAGAGTAAACGACTTTTTTAATAGAATTTCATGATCACAAACTTTTAAAATACTATTACTATTCTGTTTATATTCTGTTTTTTATTTCCGCATGTTACAACCCTAAACTATTATTATTCTCTTCCCCAATCATCTCTCACCAAAACCTCTCAAACCCTACTCTCATCAACCCCGTTAATCGTTGGCAATCGAGTGATTAGGGTTTACGCAACCATTTCTCTCACGTCAAATTATGATAAATCCCAACAACCAAAATCTAATCTTTTACCACCAAAAGACTCATATGTCTCTCCTTTTCTAAAACATCAACTGTCTAGACCAAGTTTACTCTCTGTTCATTGTCAGAATATAAATTTGATAATAAGTGATATTTTAAAAAATCATTATTTACGTGGGAAAAAGTCATTAACTCTATAATTTAATTAAACATGTTTTAGTAGTAGGAATTTAGAGGTGGGCAATTGGGACTAGGTCCAAAAACCCAGTCCAAAAACCCGGTCTTAGGATCGATCCTTATTTTTGATTCTAGGACAGGTCCTAGGAGGCCTGGTCCCTAAACGGTACCAGCCTAAGGAGGAGGGCCCGGTCCCTCCATTGGGCCCAAATTTTTTTAAACATTTTCGTTTTAAACCCTTGTACAATTATTAAAACCCCCTATAAATTTTGAAATAAACATAAATTATAGGAGTTAAAAAAATTACAAAATTTATAAAATTAAATTTTCATATTAATAAATTTATTTGTAGTTTAAATTTAGTACTTAAAACTAATAATAAGTTTATATTCATTTTAATGGTAAAAACAAATGAAATAAAAGATTTTTTTTTTTTAAATTTCACTTATTACACTTACTAATGAAATAAAATCATATTTATTTATCTATTATTCATTATTGTTATTATCTATTATAACTAGTTTATAATCATTGTATTGAAATGATATTTAAAGATGAGTTCAATGGTATTTAAACATAGTCATGACAAAATTAAGGCATTTATCTTAAAAATTAAAGTTTTAAGATATTTAAAAATTTTGTCTTCTAAAAAAAGATGTCTATGATTTGTAAAAGCAAGCTTGATAATACTTATAATACAACGTTTATAAGAAATCGAAAACCATTAATTAATCATAAACGTTTCGACAAATCTAGTTATCAATTACATTAATTGTCAGATATATAATAAAAGCCTCTTTAATCTCCAATTTTTTTTTACTATAATCTCATAAAACTTTTGCTAAATATAGATATA